ACTCCTTTGGGCGATTTTCCAAGAACAACTCTCCTTCCAAATCGATTGTAAGTTAGTTTTTACTCATTTCCTTCAACCATCAACATCTTTTAACATGATTTCAACCTAAAATCAAAGATTTTCATGGGGAAAATTGGGTGTTTTGGGTAGAACCTAGGTTTTTTTCAAAAATTGGGGATTTGGACCTCAATTTGAGGTCCGATTTCAAAACAAATTATATATTTGAGTTCGTGGGTAATCGGGTTTTGGTTCGAACCACAGGTTTTGACCACGTGGGCCCGGGGGTGATTTTTGACTTTTTGGGTAAAACTTTGGAAAACTCATTTTCATGCATTGAGGTTGATTCATTTAGCGTTTATTGATGTAATTAAGTAATTTGTAATTAGATACGAGCGAATTGGCGGTGGAATCAAAGGGTAAAGCTATAATTGAGACTTGAGTTGTGTTCAAGGCATTGAGGTAAGTGTCCGGTCTAACCCTAGCTTGAGGGATTAGGAGTTGAGTCATAATTGCTATTTGGTTCTTGTTGAGTACGACGTATAGGCATGGTGACAAGTATCTATGCGTTGGTGTCGAGCATGACCGTAAGGCTTAAATTGATAGTTGTTGTGTTCCTAAATGACATTTCGGATGCCTTAAATGATGACTCTTGATATTGAGTAAAGATTTAGTTTATCCTCGTGGACTTTTTTTATGCTTGAGTATTGATATTAATTGGACTGAGTAGGAGTTGAGCTAGGGTTGGTTATAGCCGGTTCTCCCTTGCCGGGATGGTTGATTTGATATTGTTGTTCCCTTGCCGGGAAATTTCTATGTAGCTTTTGTTCCCTTGCCGGGATTTTATTGTGATATTGTGTTGGAATAAAATGGGAGCGGGTGGTACGCCTACCACGAGATTTGATGAAATGGGAGCGGGTGGTACGCCTACCACGAGATTTGATGAAATGGGAGCGGGTGGTACCTACCACAAGTTATAGTGAAATGGGAGCGAGTGGTACGCCTACCACGAGTTATGATGAAATGGGAGTGGGTGGTACGCCTACCACGAGATTTGATGAAATGGGAGCGGGTGGTACGCCTACCACGAGATATGAGAAATGGGATCGGGTTGCACGCCTGCAACGAGATGTGTACTAACAGTGAAATCTGCCTTTATTTTCCTTATCAGTGTTAGAGTTAAATTGTTGATTTTCCTTATTATTCTCTTGAAATTCTGTATTATCTGCTATCCCCGAAGCATGACCCCCTCCCTAGTTTTATCTTGTTTATTTCTGTCTATCTTTCGTTGTATATATACGCAACTGCATAGGTTTATCTGGAGCCTGGTCCTAGCCTCGTCACTACCTCGCCGGGGTTTGTTCATTAGCAGTAGATCGGGAGCTATCCTTCAGTCCGAGACTCCGAGGTAGCCCTGCTAGCATCCGCAGGCCCGGCGTCTCTTCTATCAGTTTTTATGTTCTGTTGTCATTTGTACTCGAGACAGACTATGTTCCTTTCTTTCACACACTTATTTGTAGTAAATCCTAGATAGTCCGTGGATGTTGTGACACCAGGTTCTGGTTAGAGGCATGTGTTGGTCTTCAGGATGATTCGGTTTTATATTTATTTAAGACTTCCGCTAGATTTCCTATTCCGTTGTTATTTAATTATTTATTTACTGTTAATTTAATTGGTTAAAAAGGAATTAAAAACAAAAGCATCAACTTCTATGAGCAGGCGCCATCACGACTCCCGGGGATGGGAAATCCGGGTCGTGACACATTCACAAACTTTTATTTTCTAACAAAGAATACAACTATCAAACTCATTTTTATGAATTTTTTCCAACAATATTATATTCAAATATATGTCCAATCTAACCTAAGTATAAATTTCACCGCATGTCCTTTTTGTGAGCCGGTGTTTAAATTCTATCCGTTTTAAACACGATTTAAATAATTCTAGTAAAACTTGCAAATAATTGAACAACACAGACAAGATTTGTCAATAAGGCAAGACTCATGAGCAATTTAAAAAAAAAAAAAAAAAAGCAGAATGATGATTGTGCCAAAGTTAAACACGCCCAACATAACCGATAAGCAATGCAACATTTTCCAATTCGACAAGAATTCTGAACAAAATTAACATAATAACTAGAATAAAGATTGTAACAAATTGTGCTCGCCCGACCAATGGCGGGGTAGGAGAGATTATGGCCAGTGAGAATTGAATTAGTGATCTCACAAAGGTTTTGAACCCCTTTAACCACTAAGATATGCTTTTGGCATGTGTCAAGGAAATTCAAAGCATAATATGCATGGTGTAATTTTTCGGCTAAAGAGGTTCGAGTGAACACCCTTCCGCCTAGGTTGTTCATTTGGATTGGATATCCAAAATCCGAACCGATCCGTTCAATTTTGAATTTCAGATCAGATTCGGATTGGTATAATTTTAATCCGACCCGATTCGAAATCCGAAATTATTAGGGCATGTATAAATACTAAACTTTAATTTCTGATAGTCAGTACTTCCTTTACATCTTCCTCCAATTATTACCTTTACAATTGCTCGATTTAGCTATATTGACACCATAGTACTCTCATAATTGCATAAACATGAATTTTTCTTACTGTATTGCCTCTTTTACAAAGAAAATATACATAAGAGTTTGCAACTTTGAGGCATAATAATTCGAACCGAAATTCTAAAATCCGATCCAATCTAACATTAATTCAGATTGGATTTTCTAGAATTCGAAATCCGAATTTGAAATGTGCTAAATCCGATCTGATCCATGCACAGCCCTGCTTCCGCCCCTGCATCCAACATAACATATGAACATGGTAAGATGTCGATCCACGGCCCGTGAACAATTTAACAAGTTAGGTAGAATAAAAAGGGAAACTTACACAAATGTCCCATATAAATCTCAACTTACCAACCTCTAGCCATTAGTCATAGACTTACCAAAACTAGCCAACAAAAATTGAAAACCCAAATAATAGGGTTCTTTCTATCAAAGAATCACATGCAAAAATCACATTCCATATTTTTAAGCGTGATTAACAACATTAGATACAAGACGGAAAGGAAATTTCATGGACGGGGTAGCAAATAAGGTGATGAAATATAAAAATCTATACAATATTCCAAAAATCTAAACAAAACAGGAACTTTTTCAATGGGTATAGTTGAAATTCATTGAAAATATATAGATAAGTCAATATACAAAATTTGAGGAAGATTGGAGGTGATTTGGACTAGTTTTGTATCAAAATTCTTAGTTAAATCGAGTTCAAAAAAGTCTTCTGCGACATATGTATCAAACATGTATCACGCATGTATCTCACACACAGGTATACATGGATATACACGTGATAGATAATTGATACAAATATGATACATATGTGATACACATATAATTTTTTTCATGTTCAGCTTTTACTTCGAATTTTCAATTCAAACCACCTCAAAACTTCACCAAATCATCCCAAAAATGAGATTCAAGCTCCTTAAGTTGTGCCCAATCTATTCTAATAACACCCACTCAAAACAAAGCAAAAAATTGATATTTTTTTGCTACAAATAGCTAATTGGCTAATTTGGCTAATATTAGTAATATTTTATCAATTGGCCAATTTTTGTAATGAGCTACTTATAAATGGACATGACTGGTAATTTCCCGAATAAAAATTATATCAAAGCGACGTCATGCCCAACATAACTTGTGAAACGTAAATTTTCATTCTTCCGATTTTTGTGTCGTCGAGGCTATTTTGGCACAAATTTCTTAAACGGGGACAAAAATTAAATAGCAGCCTCAAATGATCCTATTTGTGCAAATCTCCGTCATTATTTCAATCTTGGATCTTAGCGGTTGGGCCAATACCCTTCGACTCATGTGTGGAAATGACACTATATAGCCATTTGTAAGCATGATGTTTAAAATATATTCATATTTTACAAAGTATTTAAAGATTAACCAATTCGTTCAAACTTCAGGACATGATATCCTAAAATTTAAACCTAAAGGTTCAAACTTCATGACATCGTATCTTAAAGTTCGACAATTATGTCTAGAAATTCAAATCTTATGTCCTGAATTTCAAATTAGCAGTTTAGAATTTTAAATTAGCAGCTCAAAAAAATTAGGACATTAAGTGTTGAATTCCAAAGTAGTAGCTCACAAATTCAGAATATAAAATTTCACGATACTTAGTCCTGAAATTTGGACGAATTAGCTAATCTTAAAATACATTATAAATTATGAATAAAATTTTAAAGGACATGTTTAAAAGTCGCTATTGGTGCACTTCGCCCGAGTTATGTTCAAATTGGTAGCCTGTCTGGCCAAACTTCTTTTGAGGCAAAATCGTGTTTTTCAGTCTTTTTTAATTTTATTTTTTAAATGAAGGTGTTCGGCCAAGCTTTTGAAAGGAAAAAAGTGCTTTTGAGGAGAAGTAGAAAAAAGTAATTTCTCTCCAAAAGCACTTTTGAAAAAAATATACTTAGAAGTAGTTTTTTAACGCTTGGCCAAATACTAGTTGTTGTTTAGAAGTGCTTTTTAAATTAATTAGCCAAACACAAATTGCTTTCAACAAAAGTACTTTTAAAAAAAACAATTCTCAAAATAAGCTGATTTTTGCAGCCTGGCCAAATGGGGTATGGGTGTCCATAACACTAATGTAAAGATTGATAAGATTATGGGCCACCAACTTCGGCCCATTTGATTAGGATCCATTTAAAAAGACAGTGACGAATAATGACCACGTGGACGCTTCTCATTGGACAAACTTGTTCGATTGACGTATATACATCACCTTAATAACCCAGATAAACACGAAGTACGACTACTTGGATCAAGCCAATTGGCCAAACTTGTTAGATTGACGGCGAAACAATTATAAAAAATTATTTTTTGAAACATATATATATATATATATATATATATATATATATATATTTTTATCGAGCTCCACATGGCCGGGTACGATTCTACCGAGCCTTATGATGGCCAATTTAACAGCCTAGATTTTGTTACATTAATTTTAAAGAAAAATTGTTCTAAAGAGTACACAGAGCTGAGGAGTGAGCAATGGGGCGGTTGATTTTTATAGCAGTTTTGTTGGTCGTAATTGCAGAAAATGCAAGTACACAACTTGTTGAAGTACCTGCAGCTAAGGAGGAGGGAGATGAATTGGGTCCCATGGGGTTGAATTTCAAAGAGGAGGAAATTGATGGCGGTTTCTCTTCTTTAGATGGGATGTTACAATGGGCTATAGGTAAGTACTTTTCCTTTCTCCTTTTTTTTCTGTTGCTTTTAAGTTTTAGCTGTGAAGCTCAATTTTTCTTATTTTTTGGATGAAATGTCTATCAGTGAACTAAATTACTTATTATTAGTTTCAACATTTTTATATAAACACTAAATGCTTTATTTATTAAATCAGTTTCAGCATTTAATGCTTATCAGCAGTGGCGGAGCTAGAATTTTCAAGGAAGGGGTGTCAATATAAGAAAATAGATACACCGAAAATATACACGAAACAGAACAATTTATCTAGCAATACAATGTAATTTTCCGGCAAATGGGGTGTCGATGCCGCCACTGCTTATCAGCTACTTTCAATCAACTAAGCCAAACAGGCTCTTAGTTGGGTTGGATATCTATTCAAAGTCAACCAGTATTCAGATGATTCATTCGTGTCAGTAACAACAAGTAAAGCTAAATCCTAAGTTAGTTGGAGTCAGCTGCATAAATTCACAATATCCATTTGATTCCATTTAGACCTATTGCATTTTAAGACTACTAACTATCGTTTAACATAATTGAGTTGTAAAAATCTTGTGTTTACTATATTGACACATGCGACACTATGATCAAACAGAATTGAAAGATAAATTTACTTATGTAATCGCTTTTTTGTTTATCCATGCTAAGAATTCGGTATTGTTTAAATTTACATAACACAGGCCATTCGGATCCTGGAGTACTAAAAGAAAGATCAGAAGTTTTTCAACGTATGTCTCCAGAGGAGCTAAAGGAGCGCCAGACTGAAATAAAGGTGTGGTTAACACGCTTCTGATTCTTCCGCAGTGCCTTAGTGTTCTTGATACCTCTTTGTTTTGAAGTAATGTGTCCGCTATGAGCCTTTCCTTTTGTTCTCTTCATATGGCATCATTCATGATCGATGTGAGCCTACGACTACTCAATTTAATATGTCATTGATACATCACCTGATTGAAACCACCCAATGTCTGACCATTATTTACTTAAATGTTGTAATAAAGCCATCTCAATATAAGAAAACGCTTATTAATGTGGGAAACATCCGAGCTCATAGTGTTCTATTTAGAACCCAATTAAAGGACTCTAGCATATAATTTAAGCACAGATTCTCCTACTATTTGTTTGAAACTCATTACCATTTATTCTTGCATTGCCATTTCGTGTTGGAATAAAGGAGGATATTGCATTAAGTAGTATGGGAAATTATCTTGATTCTTCCCTGATTCCCCCAGTATAAGCTAATTACAACCAGGTTTTCAGGTTTCAGAATAGAAAAAAAGTAAAATGTAGTTTTGTGCTATTGGCTCTAATATGGTAATATAGTTGATGAAGACCGATAATGTTGCCCTCCCCCCACCCCAATTTGTTTGCCACCTCTTGCATTTGTATTGAACACCACAAGATCCTTCATGTTAATATGCTTATGTTTTTCATTTGGTCTTATTTTGTTTCTGTTTCAGGAACTGGTTGAGAAGCTAAAAATGCCCTCAGATGCGCAGTTGATGCAGATTGCAGTTAATGATTTGGATAATTCATCACTGCCTCTGGAGCATCATCAGCGTGCTTTAGAGGAGCTGTTGGTACTTGTTGAGCATATTGATAATGCAATCGGTATGTTTAGTTCTCAGCACTTCTTTTGTAACAGATGTTTGTTTTGCCTCTTTCAATCTTGGTTTTATGCAGCTTCTTCCGTCTTAATATCAACTGCAGAATTTGATTTGCATCTATTTTCACATAGAAACAGTATTCAAAATAGACACGCTTCCAAGACCTAATTAAGACTATAATCAAGTCTTTGGAGGCTAGGACCAGCAGCTTTGTAGTTAAGCAGGCATCTGACGTCTAGGGAATGAACTAGCAGCAGCCTTTCTTGATCTTGGTTTTATGAAGCTTCTTAATGATGCTTTATGTGTAATGTGTGTGCTTGTTAATATTTTGAGGATTCATCAATAGTGTTCCTTTATACAGTCATCAACAGATTTCTCACCATTCTTCCCATTTATAGAAACTATCGAATGCACACGTATATTTTTCTTGATGCTTACATGCTTTTTGTTTCCAGATCTGCAGAAACTTGGAGGCTTCAGTGTACTTTTAAGAAAACTTGATCATTCTGAACCAGAAATTAGGACTGCTGCTGCATGGGTTCTTGGCAAAGCCAGTCAAAATAACCCAATTGTTCAGAAGCAGGTATTGGGATAGGCATGCGTTTTTACAAGTTCACAACATACAAAGTCGGTCTTTGGGCTTCAATTTCTTTGTGGCTATCATCTGTGCATTTTCTGTATTTATATTCGAAATATTTGGCTATTTGATCAATAATATTATGACATAACTTTTGCATTCAGGTCCTGGAACTTGGGGCATTGCCAATGCTGATGAAGATGATGAAATCTCACTCCACTGAAGAAGCAATAAAAGCTCTATTTGCTGTTTCAGCACTAATCAGAAATAATTTGATTGGTCAAGATTTGTTTTATCAGGAAGCTGGACATACGATGCTTCAGGTGATCCAAGTGAAGATTGAGTCAAGCCATCACGCAAAACTAGTCTAATGCTGGCAGCCCATAATTATCTTTCTCTTTGTATGCAGGAGGTTCTTAGCAATTCAAATCTGGATATCAGGTTACATAAGAAATCACTGTTTCTTATTGCTGATTTGGCCGAGGGTCAACTGGAGAATGAGAATACCGCGGCGGTACCCTTTTTCAGCAACCGGTTGTTACTGAAAGCCGTGGTTGATTCAATGGCGTCGAGTGATCTTGATCTCCAGGAAAAGGTTTGTGTAGTCTTTGATGTGAATGAGCATTAATTTCAAAATTAACATATTTGTATGAACTTCAAAATGCCGGGTAGGTCATTTTAGAGATGATCCTCGCCCTCAGCAATTTTGGCCTGTCCTTTGTGAAGAGCAAGTGTTCTTGGTCTTTTTCTATATAAAATCTACAGTTGGATCCATTATCGCTACAGTCATATACCTCCAAAGTTATAAACCGCCATATCCTCCATAGGACCTTATTCTTTAACTTAACTAAGTCACCTACCTTCAACTTTTGCAAATGGCTATATCAGTCTGTTGTACTGCGGTTTGATGATGGACTGTTGGTTAGATGGGAGAAGTAATCAGTAAAAGAGATTTCTATCTCCAGGGTGTTTTCATTGGAAATCATTCTTTTGGGTTAAATTCTTCTTCCGATAAGTTCAGGTTTGAGTTCAGGTCAAAGTCCAATCAGATGATGATAGTGGGTTCACTTCCGAAGAGGAAATTCTACTCTGATAGAAATTCAACTGTGATTTTCTTCATAGGGAAAGTGTGGGTTGGTTATACAGAAACTTATCAGAGGTAAACAGTAGTGGATACCAGTCAGCTGGGTGAGGAGGATATCTGTGGTTGGGATGGGGGCTCATTTTCATCTTTAATGGTGGAAAATATACGTGTATTTTGGTGAAGGGTTAGGTGTAGACAAACAGAAATCACCTGTTCATCTTTTGACTTTGTTAGGCCAGGTCTTTCAAACAATATATATTTATGTCGATATACAACCTAATTGGGTGTTAGTGCATATAAAAACTTGTTTCATTTAAAGTTTGTTGGTGACATCTTTATCCCTTCATAAAGTATGCAAGGGGCTTGAAATGTAATCTATGTCTGATATTGTTAAATTGCAGGCTCTTTACGCAATCAAAAACATACTACTACTTAGATCGACTAAAATTCAAGTTTTCAAGGACTTCTGTAAATTGAACGAGGCACTTGAGAGGACGAGGCAACAGTTGCAGCAGTTTATGGTAGAAGATGACCTTAGAGAATATGCAACGGATTTAGAAGGTCTTCGCAGAGAAGTTGAGCTAACTTTCCTTCAAAAGCTGGGTAAGGTGAGCAAAGAATGAATTTACACTTAGTGTCATTTGTACTTTGGATCATTGCTAAAATGAGAATTGGCTGGTTACACAAGCTGCAAGATGATGATGAGTTCTCATGGAAGTTTCTGGCTTGATCCGGGTTTTGAATTGTATGTTATTGTGTTCTGGCTCAGTATGACATCTTCACGACACACCATCGGTTCATCAGGACAGGAAAATTCGCACATCTGTTCTTAGTATTACATAGGTGATAGGACTAACTCTTGAATACATAGATCTAGATTTCTTTAACGACGCATTGTATTGAATTTAAGTGTTATGAAAGCAGTTTTGGTGTAGCATGAAACGCGAAACAAGTGAGAGTAACAGTTTTACAGTGGACTGACTCAATTGGTTATTTCATTTTTCTGATGTAATTTACAAGAGTTTCTGGTTGATATGAACTAGTATTGGAATGAAATGGATCCGAATACTGAAATTACTATTACTGCTCCAGATACTTGACCCTGCTATCTGGCACCCACCTACCACCCTTTTTAAATCTAATTTATCTAAAGCTTCATTTTGCTATTTTGCTCCCCATGTATTTCCTATTTGCTTATGCATTTCCTTCTCAAATTGGAGGGCACCATACATACATACAAACAACAACAACATATCCAATATTATCTCACACCTTGAAGTCTGGGGAGGGTAGTGTGTACACAGACCTTACCCCTACCTTGTGAGGATAGAGAGGTTATTTCCAATAGACCCTCGGCTCAGGAAAGCATAAGCACCATATTAATGAAAATATAGAAGGGACAGTACTAAAAAGCCATATAAAAGCAGAATAAAATAACAAGATATAGTAAGGTGATCAACAATGAAAGAAAACAACGGTTAGTCAAAAACCTACTACCACCAGAAAGTGAGACTGCATGCCAATACTACTATTGTGAACACTCTAGACTACCTACTCTATTACCCTAATCCTCGACCTCTATAGCTTCCTAAAAAAGGTCATGTCCTTGGTCAGTTGAAGCTGTGTCATGTCTTGCCTAATCACCTCTTCCCACCTCTTCTTTGGCCTACCTCTACCTCTCCGTAGTCCCTCCAATGTCAACCTCTCTGACCTCCTCACCGGGGCGTTTGTGCTCCTCCTCCTCACATGCCCAAACCACCTAAGTCGCGCTTCCCGCATCTTGTCCTCGCAACATCTTGTCGCGAATAACCTCATTTCTGATCCTATCTAAACTGGTGTACCCGCATATCCATCGCAACATCCTCATCTCTACTACCTTCATCTTCTGTACATGAGCGATCTTGACCGGCCAACGCTCCGCCCCATACAACATCGTTGATCTGATCACCACTCTGTAGAACTTACCCTTAAGTTTCGGTGGCACCTTCTTGTCACACAAAACACCGGAAGTGAGTCTCCATTTCATCCATCCCACCCAATACGATATGTGACATCTTCATCAATCTTCCCATCCCCTTGAATAATAGACCCAAGGTACTTAAGACTCCCTCTCCTAGGGATGACGTGCGAGTCCAGCCATACATATGTATGAAGCGAGGGCACCATACATATTAGATTAAATTTGAGATGAGTTTATCTCACGTTTGGTTGTGATAAAATTACGGTATAATTAATTCTATGATTAGTTATCTCGGGAGTAATCCCAGGATTGTAGTGTTATTTGTATCCTATGGGAGGGTGGGATAACAATCCCGGGATAATTAATCATGGGATAACTTGCTTCCCAACCAAATGACCCCTAAGAAATTGTAGTATTTCGATAGACAATAGTACCATAATCCAATATGTATGGTGCCCTCAAAAACTTGCTCCTTATACAGGGAACATATGCACATTGAGATATCAATATAGTATGATAACTGCTACGATTCAATCTTAAACAAGTTGGGATCAACTATATGTATCTTCGCTGACACTTTCTCCATTTATATTCATCCCAAACCAACATTAATAAGTTCGAATAAAGGAGGATAATTATAGTGAACCGACAATCAATATAAAACTAGTCAATTCTTAATGAATCTCGAAAGAAATGTTTTAAAAATATAAAAGCTCACTATCTTTCCACGAATTAATTGTTAAACATGATTTCTTTATGTACAATTAGAAATAATATGTCAATTTCTAGATATTCAATGGTAGCAATAGCTAGAAATAATTACTACCCAAACAGGAAAATTGAGTGTTCACTCCAATAAGGACCATGGTCCCATCACCCTTGACAATGCCTCCAAAAGGTCTTTAACTTACGTATATGTATGGGTGTTCATGGTTCGGTTTGGGTCGGTTTTTCTCTAAAAAGAAACCAAACCAAGTAAGTCGGTTTTTCAAATATTGGAACCAAACCAAACCAATTAAGTCGGTTTTTATCGATTCGGTTTTTGTCGGTTTTGTCAGTTTTTCGGTTTTTTCGGTTATTTATCGTTTTTTTTCTTCTTAAATATGAGATATACACTACCAAATACATATTCCAACGACTATATATTCAACGTAACACTATCAAATCAATTGTTCTTTGAGAAATCTATCATTTACCAAGATATATTGATGATAATTGAAGTAAATAGTGATGAATAATTTAAGTACTCAATTAAAAATTTATTATTTTTATCATGAAATAAATTCTTGTATTTAGCAAAAGAAAACTACCAATCAAACTAGAATGTAAAGGCAAATAATTAGATTATTATAATAAGAACTAGATTAAAAATACAAGTGACTAATATGTACTATAAAATCTTAGAAACTTTATATAAAAATATACATATATAAAAGTGTAATAATAAATTTAAATAGCTACTTTTATAGTCGGTTTGATTCGGTTATTTTTTGATTAAAACCAAAACCAAACCAAATTTGATCGGTTTTTAAAATTTAAAACCAAAACCAAACCAACCCTAAAAGGTATAGATTTTTTTGGAGGGTTTTGTTCGATTTTCGGTTTGGTTTAGTTTTTCGGTTTTTTATGAACACCCCTATGCGAGGGATAACAATTGTACTTGGGTTTTTGTTTAGCCATTGTAGAGTCGTTTCAGTTGTGGAAGATGGATCAAACTGGGCAGCGACACTTGTGCTATTTGGGACGTGCTCTTTTGAGGAAAAGCAAGATTTTGTTGCTTGACGAAGCAACTGCATCGATTGATGATGCAACTGATATGATATTGCAACAAAAAAAATTAGGGGAGGTGCCATGGTGTATGTTGTTCGCGGATGATATAGTTGTGATTGATGAAACGCGAGGCGGCATGAATGGGACACTGGAGGTATGGAGGCAGGCCCTGGAGTCTAAAGGTTTCAAGTTGAGTAGGAATAAGACGGAATATGTGGAGTTCAACGACGTGACAGGGGAAGCGGATGTGGAAGTCAGGCTTGACTCACGGGTCATCCTCAAGAGAGAAAGTTTTAAGTACTTAAGGTCAATTATCCAGGGAGATGGGGAGATCGACGGGGATGTTACGAACCGTATTTGGGTGGGATGGATGAAATGGAGGTTAGCGTCTGGAGTCCCGTGTGACAAGAATGTGCCACCGAAACTCAAAGGTAAGTTCTATAGAGCGGTGGTTAGACCGGCCATATTGTATGGAGCNTAGAACTTTAATGTAAAAGATGCGATATCTTCCTTTGTTCTCTTTACTGTCTTTTTTTAAACTTTATTTTCTCAGGTACAATATTAAGAGGTAGTATATTACCGCAACCGGTGTTTTCATCTACATGCAAATATGTTTACAGCTTTCTGCAGAGCTCACTTTTGGAAATATGAAAACTTGACTTGAGCCCTCGCTATGACACAACTATGGGTGTTCATGGTTCGGTTTGAGTCGGTTTTTTACTAAAAAGAAACCAAACCAAGTAACTCGGTTTTTTAAATATTGGAACCAAACCAAACCAATTGAATCGGTTTTTTATCGATTCGGTTTTTCGATTTTTCAGTTTTTTCGGTTATTTATCGTTTTTTAAAAATATGAGACATACACTACCAAACGCATATTTCGGCGGCTATATTTTCAACGTAACACTATCAAATCAATTGTTCTTTGAGAAATCTATCATTTTGAAGATATATTGATGATAATTGAATCAAATGGTGATGAAGAATTCAAGTACTCAATTAAAAATCGATTATTTTTAACATGAAATAAATTCTTGTACTTAGTAAAAGAAAACTACCAATCAAACTAGAATATAAAGGCAAATAATTAGATTATTATAATAGCAAAGAACTAGACTAAAAATATAAATGAATAATATGTACCATACAATTTTAGAGACTTTATATAAAAATATACATATATATAGGTGTAATAATAAATTTAAATAGCTATTTTTATAGTCGGTTTGGTTCGGTTTTTTTGGTTATTTTTTTATTAAAACCAAAACCAAACCAAATTTGATCGTTTTTTAAAATTCAAAACCAAAACCAAACCAAACCTAAAAAGTATCGATTTTTTTGATCGATTTGATTTGGTTTTCGATTTGGTTCGATTTTTCGGATTTTTATGAACACCCCTAGGCATATGTGTGTCTAAAATCTAAATAAAAACACGCGAACCTTTAAATGTTGATTTTATGCATATATATTTATAAGGCCTATTTATAATGGCTCCACCGTTTACCATTCACGTGGTAGGGTCGAACTTCCATTGCTTTTTCTTCCTTTCCCTCACCTAGTCTTATGGCCTCGTTCCCAAAGTTTTTAAAGAAACTAAATTATTATAAATTGATGTGATTATTTTTTTGTTGATAATAAAAAAATAATTTAAGTTATATACATTATTGATGTAAGGTTCTTTACACTATTAGATCACTTTTACCGTATATAACACGTCATCATCGAAAAATCCTCGAGGACTAGTGCACACAGTTTAAACTTAGTGAATAATAGATCCGTTCCTTTAACATTTTTCACTTAAATACCTTTTTTTCAATTTGTAATATAGTTCAAACATATAATGTGCGTCTAACCTACAAATTACGTGCTTTGCCCATAAATGGTCGTGATTATTATGATTGTATATATATTTATGATAACCAAACACAACAATTGTAGGGAAATGCCACGGAAAATAACAACAATAATACTGCAATAATATTTGTGAGCGGAAATACGTGAATTGACTTGAGTCGTGCTAGACACTGTCCTAAGAAACTATTTCAGCAATGTGAAATATTTCCCCAGGATTAAACAAGCCCATCTCTAATTTATTTAAAGGATACAGGAATCAGTAAAATATTTATATTGCAATAATCCAACAAGATTGAAAAGAGAATAGGACAAAGAAAATGGAAATATGAGAAGCTAAGAGAGAAAGAGAAGAAGGCTAAGTAGAAAAGCAATTCTAGTGGGATAATAATTGTTCAGCCAAATGATGGTTATTTATACTTGAATTTGCATGTAAATTTGTAGTGCATGTCAAGAAGGTGGCTAATCAAGTTTGCCACTTGACATTTGTAGTGCA